CCCGGAGGGCACCTCGCCAGGGGAAGCTCTCGGGAGCCCTGCCCAGACCCCCTGGCGTGGTGAAGGAATCACGGCGTCTTTTTTTTGTTGTTGCTATTTTCGCTTTTTGGGGGCCCTCCTCGGGCCTCGGGATCGGCAAATAGCGGTTCAGGATGCAAAGCCGGTTCCAGGGAGTGGGTCCAGACCTCTGAGGCTCGCGTCATGAAGAAATCATGATGTCGGGGGTCTGGGTTGAAACGGGGGTCAATGCAAGCGAGGGTCCGCCAGAGCGCCGGATGCTGCAGGATTCTGCAAAGCCAGGGTTGCACTGGCCCTGATCGGCGTGCGGGATCCTGCAGGATCCTGCGGGATCTTGCAGGATCCTGGATCCTGCGAAGCCCGACTGGCCCGGGTGTGGATTGACCAGGGTCAGTAGGTCCCCGAGAACCGTTCAGGTGCGGCGGCGAGGTCAGCACATCCAGTGCCCCAGGCCTTGGCCAGGCCTGGGCCCAGGAGCGGCGCGTGTGCCGCCACGGCCAGGGCGGGACGGCGTGCACACCGCTTCTGGGCCCAGGATGGGCCGGGCCTGCCTGCGGCGGTGGAAATGTTTAGATCCCGTCGCCCCACCAGGGGGGGTAGGGTCACCCTGACCTTCCAGAGTGCTAAAACATGGCCCTCCAGACCTATAGACTTATCTGGGCTGCCTAGAACCCCGGCAGGAATTGAGACATCCAGGTCCTAGTGCTTTTTTTTTGCCCTCCTGGAAGGTCAGGGCAGGCGGGAACGCATCGGCACCCAATCGCCCGTGGATCACCGATAGGGGCCCGATGTCCCACCGCGCCCAGGACCCTGCGGTTTCGCGGTCGGGGGCATGCCGCCGCTCTATCGGCGACGCAGCGCCGATGCAAGCTCGATGTTTCCCCCCGGAGCCACCTCCGCGTGCACGCCGCCAGCGATCCCGAAGACCCCGAGGACGCAGACGGCAACACCGCTCTGCACCTCGCCGTCCACAGCCTGCCGCACGACACCGTGTGGTTCCAGACCGGCGGGTCGGTGCCGTGGCCTTTCGCCTGCCGCTCGTGGCCCGGAGTGCCTTTTTTTTCCTCGCGCTGGCCCCTTCTCCGCGCTCCTTCCTCGTTTCCCCTTGCTCCTGCTTCCTGCCTGCTCCCTCCTGCCCCCTCCGCCCCGCCGACCCCTCTCCCTCACCGAATGCGCAGGTTTTGCGCAACGCTCCTGCGTCAAGCGCCCGGTGATACATCAGCAGCATGCACGTCGGTGGGGCAGTGAGTTCTTGCTCCACATCTCGAGCATTCGACTTGAAACCTCTGGCAGTGCATGTTCTGCGGCTGCCATCGGCACCGACGAATCAAGGTCCGCCAGACAAGCTACACGCAACGGATGCCCAATCACATGCATTATCCCATCTTCTATGTACCAAGCTCCTGTCCGACCTTGAGGGTGGCATCTACGACAATGCTGTCAGCAACGTCCACAGCTTGCAATTGCAAGTTGATGGGTTTGCTGGTGCAGTGCCCTCAACGGCAAGGTATACTTCAATGGCATGACCAGCAGACAAAGGCAATGTAAGTGTAGCGGCGTACAGCAAGACGCGGCCAACGGCAGCAGGCATTACCTCGTTCAGCGAAACATCTGTTTCAGTTGGCACGATAACCCCAAACATGCCAGTACTGTAAGGACACATTCGGATTACTAGCTTGCTATTGTTTTGATGTCGGTAAGGGTTTCCAAACGTGCTCCCATCGTAGCTCGAAGAGTGTCCTTCTCACCCCCACGCACAGCTATCATTGAGCATCGCACCGCTCTGAATCAAAATGCGTTTTTGGTTTGGCCAGGGGAGAGACATCGTAGGAGAAGGAGGAGAAGCAGCGCGGATGCTAAGGAGGG